GGGGCGGATAGGCAGAGACAGAACAAAGAAAAAGAAGACATGGAGGAGGAGGAGGAGGAGGAGGAGGAGATTGGGTTTATACCCCATGCCCTGCACTACCCAAAGGTGTCTCGGAGCGGTTTACAAACTCCTTTCCCTTCCCCTCCCCACCACAGACACCCTGTGAGGCAGGCGGGGCTGAGAGAGCTCTTGACAGAAACTGCTCTTTTTCAAGAACTGCTCTGATCAGAACTGTGGCTTGCCCAAGGTCATCTAGCAGCTACATGTGGAGGAGTGGGAGGAGTGCAGAAGTTCTCCGGTTCAGTCCCTGGCATCTCCCGTTATAAAGATCTCATCAGATCTTGGAAGCTATGCGGGGTCAGCCCTGGTTAGTATTTGAGTGGGAGACCGCCAAGGAATGCCAGGGGCGTGACGCAGAGGCAGGCAACGGTAAACCCTCTCTGGATGTCACTTTCCGGGAGAACCCTACGGGGTCACCATAAGTCAATTGTGACTTGACGGCAACAACAAAGGAGGTCCTGGAGACCCCACTGTCTTAAAAGCCCCATGGGCTGTAAGGCTTCTTCCCCCAGAGGAAAAACTCCACCTTTACCGGGATGGATCCGTATGATCTAGTGAAAGAAGATGACTAGATGGCCGTCGGACAGCACTGCTGATTCTGTGAACTTAGGCAGAACGTGAGAAGGGAGGGCAGGAAGGGTCACCTCAGTGTTTCGTTCTCGTGCCCCTTCTTTACACGTCCATGGAAATGCCGATCGCCACTTTGGGGTCAGGAAGCCATTTTCCTCCAGGCCAGTTTAGCCAGGGACCCTGGAGGTTTTTTGTTATCTTCTGGGCATGGAACACATTTCACTGAGTGTGTGTGGGGGGATGTATTTGTGAATTTCCTGCATTGGACTAGATGACCCTGGAGGTCCCTTCCAAGTCTATGATGCTATGTACATGTGACAAAATTACTCACTGCACATCAGATCTTACCCTTGGTTCTTTCAATAATGGTCACCCCTCATTAAGTTGAATTTCTGTGGAATTCAGGTATGTGTATATTCACTTTTCCCTTAAGTCTTTGCTTTTGTACCATTTTTCCTTGGTGTAACACAGGAAAACATTCTAAAGGAAGAGCCTGGTCTTTTGCCCTCACTCTACTCCAGTCTACATCTTTTAAACTATTTCACCTTAATCTTCAACACACCACACCAATCATTTCAGTCATTCACTGCCTAAATGCATCTGTAGACATGGATGTTAACATCATTTTCTATTGTTGTTTTTACTATAAAGCAAGGAACATGAAATGCATGTGTTAATAACTGGAAGCCCAGAGTTGTTAAGGTCTCTTGCTGCTTATCCTTCCAAGAAAAGCTAGTGTTGCAGTATAAATAATAAATCAAATGTAACTTGGTGATGGTATCACTTCAATTCACTGTTTAGCCATGATCTCCTGGGTGGATCTACTTGGGAGAGTACTGGTACATAGCTTGGCACTGTGGGCCTATTTCCCTCCCAGGAAATGTAAAACACAAAGCATTAGCTAGGGCACAGAACACAGTGTAAATGGAAGTCTAATCAGGGAGACAGACATACCTGCTTAATGAGCCTTCTATAAGAGAGGCTGCCAAAACCCTGTGAAACCAGTGAGTGAGAGAAGATACACAGGTATTGATTGGTGCCTTCAGGGGGTGAGAAGAAGCAGAGTGATTATGGTTCTCATGAGAAATCAACCCACACATTTTCTTTGAATGGGTATAGCTGCCAGTAATAATGTTCTTGTGGTATCAGCAGCCCAGATTTTTCAGTCCACTACTGTGAAAAATGACAAGACTTTTCTACAGAAACAGAAAAGAAAGTCCAAATGCCATTTAAAAATAGATAATTTAAATCAAATCTCAGTCCCACGTTTTGAGGCAGGTGGGCCTTTGTGCAAAAAGAAGAAAGCTGCCTGCCAGGGTGACTTCTTGTTGCCTGCTCCACAATGCAGAAACTGATTCTTCTTGATGTGTTAAATGTCACTTAGTCACAATGTGTGATATTCGTCTTTGGATGTGAAATCAACAGATTGAGCAGTTACAGACATTTTGTACTACTTACAAAGAGAGACACAGAGAGAGAGTTCAGTTCCTGAAGGGATGGGAAAGCAATTCCAAATGCATAGGCAGAAGGGAACAAGAGGAATAACACCTCCCTTGTACAGTGATGAGAGCTTCCCAAATCAGACTGAACTAAGCATGATGTTGTTTGGGGGAGCAAAATACCACTAATGCAGTACCCATACTAAATATAGACATTCGTATCAGATGTGTTGCATGAATTACCATTTCCAAACACTATAATGTAATCTTGCTATAAAGCTAAAAATATTTTTGAACTTTAAACAAAAAGGAAAATTTCCATGTGTTGTTAAGAGGTTTCACATAATGGCATAGATAATAAGCTTCGTAAGCACCATTGGGAAGACACAGTAGAAATGGGAATCTCAGAAATATGTTGATGAATGTCAAGAATGACCAGAATTAGAACTAGGATCTCATCTTTCTATCTAGTTCAGTTTTATTCTGCCCTTCCTCCAGAGAGTTCTGAGTAGAATATTCAGTTCTGTTCCCCTTGATCTTGTCCCGGACAACAGCTCTTGTTTAATCTTTAAAAAATGAGGTCACTCAATGAGCTTTACAGCTGTGTGGATTTCCACCTGGGCCTCTCAGATCCCAGTCTGATACCCAAACTACTACAAGACAGTGATCAGCATTCTTCTGCCTCTTGTGATAAGCCATTTCCAAATGTAGAGAAAAGGATGAAACAGCTGTATTACCATCCAGGCTCCAGTATGGCTGTAATGTACTTATTGGGCTACAGCCAAATTCTGGACTTGTTCTTACTCTCCAGTTCTTTCCCAATTCTATTCACTTTATTGCCTAAGTCTAGGTGTCTGTGAGACTTCCCTATCCTACATAGGTCCTTCTATCAGACTCATTCAAGAACTCTGCTGAGACTCTGCTGAGACTCATTTCCAATACCCTGCATTCCTGGCCCATGGTACAGAAAATAACAATGAGACCTCCTCATCATTTTTGCCTGTTTGATAGTGTCTTCTTACCACCGGGCAATATATATGTACTCAGGGGTCATTTCGTAGAAAAAGAGCTAGGGGAACTCATTAGCATAACTCATTAGCATATGCCACACCCCCTGACATCAGGGGCCCGGCGGTGGACCTGCAAGGCCAGCGGGAGTGCGAGGAAGCCCCGCCAAGGCCCTCCCTGGCCCCAGGCAGGCAGGGGTGGGGAGAGGCGGGGAGGAAGCAACTTACCCTCCCTCTTCTCCTGCCTCCTCCTGGCTGAATTTGTGTGTGCGTGTGGGGGGAGGTATTTGTGAATTTCCTGCCTTGTGCAGGGGCTTGGACTAGATGGCCCTGGAGGTCCCTTCCAACTCAATGATTTTGTGATTCTATGAAAACAAAATTACAGCTATTAAGCGACAGTAGTTAAAAACAGTGGTGTAGATGTGTGTTTTTTAAAAAGCTAAAGGCTTAGAGCACAAAGTAAAAAAAAGAATTAAAGGAAGGCACAGACTGATGCATGCAGAACACAAACGGGGGAAACAGAGTAAAAAAAAAAATTAAAAACCATATTCACCAACTGGCAGGATCAAATTCTGAATGTTGACAGAGAAGCCCCCCCGGGGAAAATATTTATAGCCAACGGCTGTCTCCCTGTGCCCCTCCTGTGCCTCTTTAGAAAGCAACGGATGGGATGTGTCATCCATTCCCCACGTTCCAGCCCCCCATATATTTGTGGAAGGGCCGAGAGAGCACTGATTGACGCCTGCCGGGAGGTTCGGTTGGCGAGTGCTGCACAGACAGGGTCAGTGGAACCGAAAGCTCCTGGGTCCTGCCTTAAGGACCTTTTCTTCAAGTGCTGAATCGTCTTCCTCCCGTGGGTGATTCAGGACGATTGAAATCTTTATACAAACACCAAGGAGGGGGGGGAAAGTTACTAATATTTCAGTGAATCCTGAATTTGGTCCTGCAGTGCCTCCGCCCACGTGATCCAAGATCCTGTTTCAAGAAAGTAAATTAAGGAGATGTTAAAGTAACGGGTGGGTGGGACTGAACGACTTTCCACATCGCTAGTGTTTTAATGTACTTCCGTGTACTTATAAAAAAAGGGTGTTTTCTTTTTAAAAAAATCAACTGTTCCCCAGAGGAAAGAAAATCCGTCATGGGCTTTTGCATATAGCTCATCGTCTTCTGTCAGAATTTCTCTTGGAGACGCAGTTTCAGAATGGAACCGAACGAACTTTGTTAATTTAAAGATGACGCATGTCGGGAAAGGTGACATTTGTAAGCCTTCTGGTTTGTGCGTTGGAGAAATGCTGAAACCGGCTGTATGAGGATATGATGGGTGCAGTGTGTATAGATTAGCGGTGCCAACCCCCAGGTGGGAGCTGGAGATCCCCTGGGATTATAGCTAGAGATCCCCTGGAGAAAATGACTGCTTTGGAGGGTGGACTCTGTAGTTTTATAGCCTACTGAGGTCCCTCTCCTTCCCAGACCCTGTCCTTTTTAGGCTATACCCCCCAAATCTCCTGGTATTTCTCAAGCAGGAGAAGAAGAAGAGGGAGAGATGGGATTTATACTCCGCCCTTCACTTGGAGTCTCAGAGCGGCTTACAAACTGGAAAGAGCTCTCTCAGCCCCACCTGCATCACAGGGTGTCTGTTGTGGGGAGGGGAAGGGAAAGGAGTTCGTAAGCCGCTCTGAGACTCTGAGTGAAGGGCGGGGTATAAATCCAATCTCCTCCTTCTCTTCCTCCTTGATCTTCCCAAGTTCACAGAATCAGCATTGCTGTCAGATGGCCATCTAGCCTCTGTGGTTAAGTCCGCGGACTCTAATCTGGGAGAACCGGGTTTGATTCCCTACTCCTCAACAGGCAGCTGCTGGTGTGACCTTGGGTCAGTCACAAGTTCTCTCATGAGCAGTTCTTGAGAGAGGTCTCTCAGGGTGTCTGTTGTGGGGAGGGGAAGGGAGAGGACATTGCAAGCTGCTCTGAGACTCCTTCGGGTAGTGAAGGGCGGGGTATAAATCCAATCTCCTCCTCCCCTTCTTCTTCTCCTTCTCCTCCTCCTCCTCCTCTTCCTCCTCCTCCTCCTCCTCTTGTTGTTGTTCTTCTCGTCCTCCTCCTCCTCTCCCCTAGCAAATGTTGATGAGGAAATTCATTGTGCAAATGAGAAGGGATTGGGGTCCCCAGCCTTCTTGAGTCTGTGGGAATTATGACACGGGGTGGGTGGTAGCAACCCTAAAATGGCTGCCGCAGGGGGTGGAGTCAATCACAACATGGCTGCTGCAGGAGGCGGAGCCCCACACACAGTGGAAACCCACGTGCCGGTGGAAAGAGAGTGGTAATCTAAAAAACACACTGGGAAGAGGAGGGAGAGAGAGACTAAAACCCACACCATGGCAGCTGCCACTAAAACAATGTTCTTTTTTGATCTGCGCAGCCAATCAGAAGCCCTGTTGGGCGAGAACCTCATGTGGCCCCACCCACATTCTAAATATTGCTGGGCACCAGGAAAGGCGTTGGGAGCACTGTGGTACCCGCGGGTACCCTTGGGAATTGTCTCTATTCAAGGGCTGTTAGTGGTAGGACTTCTAAAAAGGTTCGGATCATCTGTTCCTTTGTCGAAGCCAGGGGTCATTTCCTGCAGGAGCGCACAGGAGCGGAGCTCCGGCAGTAAAGAGCCCAGGGGGCGGGCCCATGCAACAAGCCCCGCCCCCTGCTCCCAGCAGCCCTCAGCCAGGGCAAGAAGCAGCCAGGTAAGTTGCAGAGCCCCCCCCACTGCTAGCTCCAGATCTGCTGCTAGCAGTAACAGAGTGGGTTAGCATACGTCCATATGCTTTTGTCTTAAACGCTCTCATTTTTAGAGAGGGGCGAGGGAGGGGAGGTGGGTCTTCTGCTGTTGTCTTTGGCAGGTTTCCGTTCCACCATTTGGCAACAGGGTTTTTTCCCCCTCTCCCTTCGAAATGTTAAAGGGGGGGGAGGACTAACCCAGCCAAACGCAAAAACTTAAAGGACACCCACACAGACGAAATCTGCACCCTGCAGAAGAATACTCAGGCCGTAAACCATCAGGTCAATTGGTCACAGAGTCTTTAACTTGCAAAAATGTTGTACACAGTATCCAAAGTGGGGTGGAGGAACTGAGGCGCTTTTGGGTACCGTAAGGGGCAGGGTTGGTAGAAGTGGCTGTTTCAAGGCATCACCAGCCTGACTGTGTCCTTAGTAGCAGGGCTAGGAAAAGACTCTCTATCTGAGACCCTGCAAAGCCTTGACCACACTTAAAATTATTACTACTATTATTATTTTACACAGGAGCACACATGGAATTGCCTTAAACTGATTCAGACCCTTGGTCTATCAAGGTCAGCATAAGAACACAAGAAGAGCCCTGCTGGATCAGACCAATAGTCCATCTAGTCCAGCATTCGGTCTCACACAGAGGCCAACCAGTTCCTCTGGAGGGGCAGCCACAGGGCATAGAGGCCGAGGCCTTCCCCTGATAAGAACGTAAGATGAGCCCTGCTGGATCAGACCAGGGGTCCATGTAGTCCAGCATCCTGCCTCACACAGTGGCCAACCAGTTCCTCCAGAGGGCCAGCAACGGGGCCTTCCCCTAATAAGAAAGTAAGAAGAGCCCTGCTGGATCAGACCAGAGGTCCACCTCCTCCAGTATCCTGTATTACATAGTGGCCAACCAGTTCCTCTGGACGGCCAACAACAGGGCAGAGAGGCTGAGGCCATCCCCTGATACGATCATCAGAAGATCCCTGCTGGATCAGACCAGTGGTCCACCTATTCCAGCATCCTGTGTTACATAGTGGCCAGCCAGTTCCTCTGGACGGCCAACAACAAGGCAAAGAGGCTGAGGCTTTCATAAGAACATCAGAAGAGCCCTGCTGGATCAGACCAGGGGTCCATCTAGTCCAGCATCCTGTCTCCCACACTGGCCAGCCAGTTCCTCCGGAGGGCCAACAACAGGGCAGAGAGGTCAAGGCCTTCATAAGAACATCAGAAGAGCCCTGCTGGATGAGACCAGTGGTCCATCTAGTCCAGCATCTGACCCACACAGTGGCCAACCAGCTTTAAAAGGTGATTAGATAGATCTGTAGAGGAAAAGTCTAACATTGGCTACTAGCCACGGTGACTGAGGGGAACCTCCAAATTCAAAGGCACTAATCCTCTGGATCCCAGAGCCAGGAGGCAACATCTGGGGAAGGCCTCGGCCTCTCTGCCCTGTTGCTGGCTCTCCAGAGGAACTGATTGGCTGATGTGTGAGACAGGAGGCTGGACTAGATGGACCACTGGGTCTGATCTAGCAAGGCTCTTTTCATATTGCAATTCTCTGTGTTATTTTGGTAGCTTGCATTTCCTGACCCTTTTGTCAAGTTTGTCAGCCGCCCTGGGCTGAGCATGAATGGCAGGACGTGAATATTTTAAATGACAAATGGAATAAATGCATTTTCTGACTGACTGCTGAAAATCCCCAGCCAAGGGGCTCTCTTTCCCAGGAGCCTTTCGAACGGCTGACTTTCTTTCTTGTCTTCTCTCTCTCCCGCTCTCTCCTGCATCAGAATGCAAAAGTCCTCATCCGCAAGTAAGTATCCTACTATTGTCCTAGTGTATCCACCTCTCAAGCCCCACCCCCTTTTTTAGTTTGCTAAGGGGAGGGATACCTCAGAGAGTCTGTCAATACCTTTCCAATGTTCCCTCTAAGCTGTGGAGTCTTGGGAACAAAAATTCTACTTTGTGAGCTACTGACATTAAAGTTGTGAGTGAGTGATTTGGCTACTGCATAAGCTAGTTTGCTCCAGAGCCATCCTTTGTGAGCCAAGACAAAAATGTGCGAGCCGGAGGCTAAAAAACTGTGAGCTAGCTCACCCTAACTCAGCTTAGAGGGAACACTGGTTGCCACCCTCCAGGTGGGTCAAACAAGAAATATATACACTGCAAAAACCTTTTTTATAAGTTAAAGTGTTCTATATGTTCCATCTTATAAAGTGCATTGTGTATTATTCATAGTATTCTAAAACAGGTATCTATTCATTACATGCAATATCAACAATAATAACCAGTTTGTACAATCTTTTTACACAACCAACCCCAACGGGAGTTTCTAGAATCGTACGCCCGCTTCTCCTTGCTTGAAAGTCTTCTAAAGGGGGAAGTTTCCTTTTGTGGTTACACTAAAGTTTACATTGATGTCTGTTGCTGGTCCTACAAAAGGCCTATTAAGCAGCTGACATTCATAGATGGAGCGCTCCTGTCTTTCTCAAGGCTGCCCTCCAGGTGGGGCCTGGAGAGCTCCCAGAATTCCAAGTGATCCCCTGGCGACAGAGATCAGTTCCCCTGGAGAAAATGGCTGCTTTGGAGGGCGGACTCTATGGCCATTGTACCCCACTAAGGTCCCTCCCCTCCCTGACCCCTGCCTTCCCCAGGCTCCACCCCCTAATCTCCAGGAATTCCCTGACCCAGAGTTGGCACCCCCGCTGTCTTCCCCCTCTCCAGGATTTCTGAAATGGCCCAGAGCTGCAAGCTCGACCCCCTGGAATCGGGTTACGACAATATGGAGCATTACGCCGTGGACTTCAATGCGGAGGAAAGAGTCCTGTACCAGCTGGATTTCATCAAAGGTGGGGGAGAGAATGCCTCCAGGGGCCTCCAGACTGCAAATCTTCCAAGTGGGAGGGTTGTAACCCATTTATATTTGGCTAACGTGGCCGGCTCCCCTGACCCAGATGGCCTAGTCTAGCCTGATTTTGTCATATCTGGGAAGCTAAGCAGGGTCGGCCCTGGTTAGTACTTGGATGGGAGACCGCCAAGGAAGTCCAGGCTTGCTATGCAGAGGCAGGCAAGGGCAAACCACCACTGCTCATCTCTTGTCCTGATACAGATGGTTCGGGCTAGCCCGATTTTGTCAGATCTCAGGAGCTAAGCAGGGTTGGCCCTGGTTAGTACTTGGATGGGAGACCGCCAAGGAAGTCCAGGCTTGCTATGCAGAGGCAGGCAAGGGCAAACCACCACTGCTCATCTCTTGTCCTGATACAGATGGTTCGGGCTAGCCCGATTTTGTCAGATCTCAGGAGCTAAGCAGGGTTGGCCCTGGTTAGTACTTGGATGGGAGACCACCGAGGAAGTCCAGCCTTGCTATGCAGAGGCAGGCAATGGCAAACCACCTCTTTCTGTCTGCCCTGCCCTAGATGGCTCAGGCTAGCCTGATCTTGTTCAGGAGGCCTTCATGCTTTGACCTCCAGTCTGCAATTTATTATTTACCTAGTCGAAGAAGAGCCTGAACCGACAGCTGAGGAAGACGGGGCCTGTGGGGAGGCTGAAGACCCCTCGGCGGACTCTGGGGCAGGGGCTGGCGAGGGAAGAGAGGACCCAGAAGGCTTCCTTGCCTTTGGAAAAGAGGAGCAGGCTTCAGGAGTCACAACTCTGACAAGTGAGGGTCTGAGCATTGCTGCTGATGGCGGAGAAGGAAAGACCGTGCCCCATTCAGGGACAGAAGGCCAGGTTGGCACAGAAGGCACGATGTGGGCCTCTCAGCAGGTAAGGGGGGGGGAATCCCAGACATGCAATAGAGCATTGGATGTTCCAGCTTGGAAGGACGGAGATGTGCCATGCCGTGGAAGGTCTGGCCTCCTCCTGTTGTGCACTTGACCGGTTGTGTGCCTGGGATGAAAGTGGCAACTAGCTTGGCTTCCAGAGAGAACATAAGAACATAAGAGAAGCCAATGCTGGATCAGACCAATGGCCCATCCAGTCCAACACTCTGTCACACAGTGGCCAAAAATACCAGGTGCCATCAGGAGGTCCACCAGTGGGGCCAGGACACTAGAAGCCCTCCCCCTGTTGACCCCCCCCCAGCACCAAGAAGACAGAGCATCACTTGCCCCAGAGCCCCTATCTATACCTTGTGGCTA